ATTAAAGCCCAAGTATATACTATATGACTACATGGACCCCTAAACCCTAAACCCTAAACTCTTATGGTGTCCTTATAGAAGCCCTAACCCCTAAACCCTAAACCCCTCAACCCCAAACCCTAAACCCTAAGCCCTTTTTGGGTATCTGGGTCGCCTAGGGTAAGGTTTGTTTCCGAGGTTGGGCCCTAAACCCCAAACCAGTGTAGAACCCGTATAGGAACCCTTAAAGGAACACTACGCCCTAATGGTGGCCTGATAGCACCCTTAAAACCTTAAAGGAATCCTACTTAAACAGTTTTAAAGGGAACCAGAGCCCAATACCCCTTAATTAAGGAATATAGCTTACACTATAACATGAAGCCCTAGATAATTTAAGCCATATCCCTTAATTACGGGGTATTGGGCTCTCTGGGAATCTCACCCTAAACCCTAAACCATAAACCCTATAAGCCCTATACCCTATAAACCCTAAACCCTAGAAACCCCAAACCCTAAACCCTAAACCTTAAGCCCTAAACCCTAAACCCTACTCTGGGAATCTCCTCCCAGGTTGGGCCTGCCTCCCTCCTGGGACCTCCTTGGAGGACGCGACCCCGGCGCAGGCCGGTCGAGGAGTAATGTAGGGGCCTTAACCCTCAGGGGTTTAGGGGTTTAGGGTTTAGGGTCCAAAGGACCCAATAATTAGGTACTCGGTTTTAGGATTGTAGTTATGTAGGTTAGGATTATGGAGAGTATATGATTATTGGGTACTTGGACCCTTGGGGTAATGCTTAGAATAGGGTTCAATTAAAGGGGTCTATGCGGGCTACTATGAGGGCTATTTTAAGGCTAAGGATCTAATGTAGGGGCTTTAATAATTACCAAAAGGGTTTCGTGGGGCTCCTTATTCGTTATAGATATAGAATACACAACAGTATACCCCCAAACCCTAATCTAATTATTGAGGCCCCTATCAGTGGTGGTTTGGTTGCCCATGGCGCTGACAGGACTCACTTTATATCAGGGACGTTACAGAACAGAACCTGCCTTTCAAAGGACGTCTAGAAGATTTTCGGACGACGAAGGGCACCGGCTACTGCACCCAACCCTACCTGTAGTCTCCATTGTAGTTCCTTTTTTGGGTTGCCTTTTAGAATCCTTCATATATAATTGGTTAAACCAAAAAAAGGAACTACAATGGAGACTATAGGTAGAGCTCTAGGCTCCTCGCAGTGCGGCCATAAGTCTTTTCCCCAGTGTTAACCTGCTGCAACCGTAATTAATTAGGGACCCAAAAGCCACATAGGCATAAGCATTTTATCGGGATATCCCCACCATATTGGGCTTCATTATGAGGGGGTTTATATGTGATGTCCCGCACCCTTGTTTTTGCTTATGTGCTTTTTGAGGCCCTAATTAAGCCGAAAATTCCCAGCCGCAAAGCCTTCAATCAGGGGCAGCGTGGCGGTTCGACGGCAAGCGGAAGGAGGGCCCACAAAGCCTGATACCCTCTAACCCACAGGGTCCAAGTAAAGTACCTGCATAGCAGAACATTGGGTTTCTGCAGTAGGAATCACTATTCTCGCTTGGGGGAGTATCTCCTATCTAAGATATTAAGGATCCTTTGGGCAATTCAGCAGTAGACCGTTTGAGGAACAGTGTTTATTCATGATAGCAGCGTCGGGTTCCACAGGGCCCTGTCATCACGCAAACTTAAAGGATCATGGGACTTAGTAACTAGGGTGACAATTAGGGTAACTATACCTATAAGTACATATCCCCAAATAAGGTACTTATAACCTTACTTACTAAGTCCCATGATCCTCCAAGAAGTTGTGCCTTTCGCTCTAGACATTGTGCCCTCCACTCGAAGCCCAAAATCCCAAACCCTCAACCCTAAAGCCCGCCAGGGTTAAGGCGGAACCTAACAACTGCCCTAAATGGGATTTTCCGAAAACAGGGGGGGCCCTAATATAGTACCCTAAATGGTAGGATCCTTATTATAAGGACCCCATAATAAGGTACCCCTAATTTTCGGAAACTCCCAAATGGTACTAAACCCCATTCCTCCCAGACGCCCAATGCATTTGATTCCTGCATTACCCAGAGCCTCCAAAACCCCTTAATTAAGGAATATACCTTAAAGTATAGTAGGATCCATCATATGATTTAAGGTATGTTCCTTACTTAAGGGGTTTTGGATGCTCTGGGTACATTGGCTGGGGGGTCCTTGGGCCGTTAAGGACGCAACGAGTCTTAAAAGGGTTTAAAGTTCATGTGCCATATACGTAGGGTTTACCTGGACCCCAAAAGTATGTAGAATAATAGCCTAGTATAAGGTTTGGGCCATTATTCTACCTACTTTTGGGGGGTCTAGGTATAGGCTGAGGGTATAGAGCTCCAACTTGTAGTTGTGATTTGTTCCAGAAATGAAGCCCTGAGAGATTCGCAATACTCTTTGCTATAGGGCTCCCTGCTTCGTCTACAGCACCCCACACCCCCGGGAGGATCCTTTAAAGGGATCTAAGGATTTATAGGGTTTAGGGTTCATTAGGGTTTAGGGGTTTAGAGGTTTAGAGGTTTAGGGTTTAATAAAGTTTAGGGTTTTGGGTTTCAGGGCTTCGGATCTGGAAAGTGGATACCCTCATTTGGGGCCCTATGCTACTACGGGCACTTTATGGGAACCCCCATTAAGGGATCTACTTTTTGGATCCTCCCGGGTGTCTGGGACATGACCTCCAAAGCTTTTCCCAGTAGTAGAGTGGGTAACCTTTAACCCTTTTTGGGCAGTATAGTCCCTATATAATCCCTATAAAGCAAAAAAGGTTAACTTTTAGTTTCCCATGATACCCGACAAGTAGGTTTTTTCTCGCATGCGCGACAGAGTTCCAAGGGCTTGCAGTTCGTTTAGAGTTGCCGTCTGCTGTCCGAAAACCCAACTTGGAGGGTCATGGGACTTAGTAAGTAAGGTTCTAAGTACCTTAATTGGGGTTGTAAGTAGTTATAAAGTTATGAGTATAGTTACCCTAATTATAACCCTATAGTTACTAAGTCCCATGATCCTTTAAGAAGCCCTGTAAGCCTCGAGCTCTCATGCATTGCGTATGCTCGAATTTAATATACTTCTTTTGATTAGCTGATTTCTGTACGAAGCGGCCATATACACGAAGCACTTCAGGTACGGCTTGCCCGTAACCCCGAAGTCTATAGAAACTTATAGGTTAAGGACCCTCTAGGGTAAAACTCGCCCCGACAGCACCGTATACAAGGTAATTATCGATTTTGGATGGTGTTTCATTTCTCTTACTGTTGAATATAGAGCCCTAATTATACATATTTTGGGTACTGCTGAAATCGACACCTAATATAGGTTTTTGGATCCCGCGGAGATTTTCAAGTCAGCTTCAAAGCCCCCAAGACCCTACACCCTAAACCCCCCAAACCCCTAAACCTTAAACACCCCCTAACCCCCTTGTCTCTGTGTCGCGACTTCCCATGTGACGCGAGGATGTCATCGGGCTTGCCCGCGGGGGCGCGAACTCAGGTGTAGCCGCCGGCTGCAACTCAAATCCCAAGAATGTCCACACATACATACATACTTGCATACATACCTACGTACGTACGTACGTACACACATACATACATACATACACACATACATACATACACACAGACATGCCTACCTGCCTACCTACATACAAACACACATATATATATATGTATACATACTACGATTTTGAAGTTTGCTTCCAGGACTAGAATGGTGGTTTTTCTGTGGTTCATTCCACAATGGTACTATTTTTGGATCCTCTGGGATCCGAGTCTCACCTCGCATCGGTTCCCACTTATGGAGTAGGGTTTAGGGATTTTAGGGTTTAGGGTTCACCCTAGCTTAAGCTGGTGTAGGGGGGGGTTAGGATTTAGGGCTTCAGCCGTCCAATGCGGCAGTTGACAACTTCGACCCTGAGTTTTTACATCTTTGCTGAAATCATACCTTCCTGGTAGTTGATCGTCCAAACCCAGATCTAGGAATCTAGGGATAGTAGAGGACCCCTCAGCAATTACGATAGGCATCTGGTCTCCAGTTTATTTTGGTTACATCAAAAGGACCGTACGTAGATATGATTGCTAATGAGTCCAACCACAGATGAAGGGTTTAGGAGTTTAGGGTCTACGAAAGTCTAGAAGGGTCTCACAGTCTCAATTTCCTCTTGCTATTTCTTGCTCCATAGCCGAAAGTGGCCACTTTGCTGCATGATACGGTTGATGATATAGATCCTGCAATATCTTAATGACCTTAGACTATGGGAACTATGGTATATTCCTTAGTATGGGTAATGCAGGATTCGCATCATCAAGCGTATATGTAGCAAGTGAAATCCTCAGTCCCAGCGACCGAAACAGTAGTCCCACCACCATTTGTCACTTTGCTGCTTGCTTCGCTTTGTCGCCGCGTCCATGTGGTCCTTGGGGGCACATTTTCTGATGCAAAGATAAAACGATAAAACGATGGCAGATTTTGCCTTTGGGTACCTTGTGGGACCTTCAACCCACGAACTAGAATGGCCTTAATTTCTAAAACCCGCAACCCGAACCCCTAAAACCCTAAAGTCATCTACAATCTTAGGTACCGCTGACGTACATCCTCGAGCCGAATAGCCTTCAGTAAACCCTTTAACTTACCTGACTTGACCCCGATCCTTGAAGCCCTTTGACAACCCAACACCCGTCAGCACTCCACAAGACTGTCGCAAAAGCCGACTTAAACTTAAACCCAACGGCGAAACCCTACACTGTATGCCCTAAGCCCTACAGTATATAGCCTAAACCCTATATGCCCTAAACCCTACAATATATATATATATATATATGTATATATGTATGTATGTATGTATGTATATATATATATATATATATATAGATATAGAAATATATGTATATATATATATATACATATACCCGAAGCCCTAAACCCTAAACCCTAAGCCCTAAAATCCGAAACTGCACCGCCGGACCTCGCCATGTGGCCGCCGGGTCCTGGGCACCAAGCGCCCTACCGACCAGGACGGGGGTTCGGTGAATCCTAGAAGGATCCCTTAAAGGGCTCCTTAAAGGGATCTATAGGGTTCCCTAAAGGGATCTATGGTGTTTAGGGTTTAGGGTCTACTTGGAGGATCATGAGACTTAGTACAGTAAGTAAGGTTATAGTAGTAGTTATAACTATAGTTATCCGAATAACAGCCCTAGTTACTATGCCCCATGACCCTATAAGTAGAAGGGTTCCCCGAGAGTGATGTAGGGTTCAGGGGTTTTCAGGGTGCAGGGTTTCAGGTAAGCGTTCAGGGGTTTAGGGCTGAAGGCCTTAATGGATTAGGATTAGGGGTTCCTTTCTTCCTAGAATTTAGAAGGGTTCCCTTTAGGGCCCTAAGGTTCCAAAGGACGATTAGGGGCTCTAAAAAAGGCTCCACAAGGGATCTATAGTATATAGGGAAATCCTATAGAAGGATTCCCTAAGAGTCCAAAGGACCTTAGGGATTTGTAGCTGCACAGATATTGTTTTCAGGTTCCAAAGGACCCAAGTTTTCAGTAGCAATTTGGGGCAGTTTCAATATGATCATCAGGCACTTGGGTTCGACAAGGGCTACTATACGGGGTAAGAGTATTTTTGGAGTTCAGGGTTCGGGGTTTGGGGGTCCTTGTTGAGGAGGCTTTTTGTTACCACTAGTTGGAAACCATGTTGATTTATGATTTAAGGCACCATGTGGAAGTAAGGGATCCGGGGTTTAGGAATTCAAGCTACCATAATTATTGAGGAAACCCTGTCAATTACTATAGATTCCCGGTACGATAAATTGAATTTAGACCCTGAACAAGCACTCAGAGGAGGTGCACCCACACCGGGACAGACGCCGTGGAGGGCCCAGTGCGATTTCTTCAGTGCTCTGAGGCATTATTTCATATCCTTAAGATGTTATAACTCAAAAAGATCCTTGAACATATTGCTTCTATCATGGTTCTACAAGCACAAGCTGCGAGGGTTTTTCTACTAACAGCCACAGAGGCAACACAGGTGTCTTCATATTTTGAATGGGGTTTTGGGGTATACGCGGCTATGATGCGAAACTTGAGGAATAGTATTAACATAAGTGTAGGCTTCTATCGTATTAGAGTTGTGTCGGGCTGCGTCTCGCAAGAGTGACGCACGCTTATTGAGAAAGCCCCGCACAAAGCTCTGCCTGTAATATCCCAAATTGTCCAAGTATCATTACGGTACATACTTAGGCACCCCAAATACCCTAAAACTGACCGTTTCACCCTAAGGGTCCATGTACCCAAATAATATATACTGTGGGCCCAATGTACCTATATAAGGAGTACTTTAAGGGCAAAGTATATACTATTTGGGCACATGGACCCTTAGGGTAAGTATATACTATAATGATACTTGGACCTAGACCCTAAACCCTAATCGTTGCAGTATATCCTTCGACCCCCCAAATACCCTATAGTTACCCTAAACCCTAAACCCTAAACCTACTATAGTTAAGTATATACGATAATGATACTTGGACCTGTGGGTATGTAAACCCCGCATCCGGAAACCTTCGTCCCCAGATACGGGCTCCTTTTTGGGGTTCCTTTACGAGTTGCGGGTTCCTTCGAGGGATCCTTTAAGGGATCTTTAGGTATCCTTTAAGGGATCTTTCCAGGGTTCCTTTAAGGATTCCTTTAGGGGATCCTTTAAGGGCTCCTTCCAAGGTTCCTTTAAGCGTTCCTTGAGGGGATCCTTTAAGGGATCCTTCCAGGGTTCATTTAAGGATTCCTTTAGGGGATCCGTTCAAGGTTCCTTCCAGGGTTCCTTTAAGGGATCCCTTCAGTCACGAGGGTTTCATATCAGCCAAGAATCTAGACACTCCCCGGGATAGCAAACCTAGACCGTAGACCCAAAACCCTTTCACAATCGCCCTAGGCCCTAAACCCTAAAACACCCAAAGCAAACCCTAACCCCTAAACCCCTATACCCTACACCCTACACCCTAAACCCTAAACCCCTAAAGCCCTGAACCCTACACCCCCTAAAACCCCTATAGACCCTAAACCCTAAAGCCATTCAGGGCTCAGCACTATGTCCCGGGCCAGCCCAGTGGCTTCCCGGGTGCACCAAGTGCCGCTGCAGGACCGCCAAGAGAGAGATGGGCTTATCATATTATTAGGAATCCACTTAGAGCTTAAGGTATAGTGCTTAATTCAGGGATTTTGGACGGTTTGGGTACTTGGGGCTGAGGCCTTATCGTTTAAAGTAGAAGCCAGAAAGTTGGAGCATGGCTATCCTCATGCCCTTAAGGCAAGCTAAAGCAGTCCCAGCACGGATCTTCCAACATCGATGTTCCAACTTTCTGGGGTTCACTATAGACCCCACCCGCCTCCCCTCTAATTTACCCTAAATGCCCACTATTAAGGGTCATAAGTGCTCCATTACAGGGCCTTTGGGGGTCCCGGGACTTTGGAGGGTTTAGGGATTTAGGGTTTAGGGTTAACCCTAAACCCTCTAAACACTAAACCCTGAACCTTCAGGGTGCCGATGTCAGGGTTTCGGGTTTAGAGTTTTGGGTTTCAAGGGATCCGAGTTTCATACAGTAGATACTCTGTTCAGCATGAACGCCAAAGGCTGCACCCTTTATTGTCCGGAGCCCCGTTTCAATCATGGGCTGTCTAGGGTTATGTGTTGGGTAATGAGTAGGATTCGGGGCCTGGCATGCCTCTAAACCATTCTAAACCCTTAACCCTAAGCACGAAAACCTTAGAAGGGGCCCCCACCCGGTAATCGTGGAATAATAGGAATATAATAGGGCCCCAATATAATCCTTATAGTCACTATTACAGGTGAGGGCCCCTTCCTAACAAAAACTTCGCAACTCGAAATCCAACGTCGGATTCAGAGTTGTTGGAGACGTTTCAGGCTTCTGTAATGCCCGGGCCCTATAGAACTGGTGTAACTACCCCCAAGGATCCAAAGGACCCAATAATTAGGTGCTCGGTTTTAGGATAGTAGTTATGTAGGTTAGGATTTTGTACAGTATGTGATTATTCGGTACTTGGAATCTTGGGGTACCCTTATGGAACCTCTTATAGTTCCACCAAAAGGCCTCGTAGGAGCATTGAGTTTTGGACAACAAGACTTTGAGATACTGTTGATGGACATAATCCTGCATGACCCTAAAGACTCTAAACTATGGGAACTATGGTATGTTCCTTATAATGGATAATGCAGGATTTTGTCCATCAGCAGTATGAGCCTTAACACCCAAGTAAAGCCTAGCGCGAGAGACCCCAAAGCTCGAAACCCAGACCCTCCGACTACCTCGTCCCTGTATCTCCCTGTAAATACAACCGTCGGCCAAGTCCTCACAAGATGTCCTTTAGCAGAAACTGCAAGCCGTATAATCCTGGTTCACAGCCCTTGCAAGGTCTTACAATGCCTTGCAACACATGGCAATCCGAGCAATTCGTTACGAAGCCAGATTATATACCCCGATAAGGAATCTACATGATCCAGACTTCAACCCCTAAACGCGGAACCCAAAACCCTAAAATGCCAACCCTATACGCAAACCCTGCAAACCCTAGAGCCTATAAGCTTCAATATGAAGCCCGAAACCCTGCTCGCCTAACCCTAAACCAATCCTAAACCCCAAACCTCAAACCATAGTAGGATCTTTAATATAATTCGATACTATTTTGTGAGTTCCTTATTATCATTATAGTATCATAATGGGCCTCAAAACCCTACTCTAATTATTAAGGCCTCTGTAGTATATTCCTCAATTGAGGGACCTGAGAAGTCCCTAAATCCCAAACCCTAAACCCTAGTACCCGAAGCCCTCAACCCTAGTTATCAGATATTCGGTAAGGCGCACCTTGCTTAGAGGATCATGGGACTTAGTAAGTAAGGTTATACGTACCTTAATTGGTTTTTTAAGTAGTTATATGTATAGTTACCCTAACTGCAACCCTAGTTACTCAGTCCCATGATCCTTCAAGTAAGTCGTTGTAGGTTCTCTAAGATGATTAAGGTGTATTCCTTAGTTGAGGGATATCAGAAGTCCCGTGGCCCTAAACCCCTGAACCCCTAACCCCAAGCCCGAAAACCCTAAGCCCTAAACCCTAGTTAAGAGATCTTGGGATAGTCTTCAAATTATCGTACCTGTAGTCTTCAATGTAATTAGTATCCTACAAGGTAACCCCAAAAAGGAACTACAATGGAGACTACAGGTAGGATCTCCAATGGAGGCCCATCTACAAATCCTGCATTACCCATAATAAGGATTATACCATAATTCCCATAGTTTAGAGTCCTTAAGGTAATGCAGGATTTACATCATCAACCGTAGGATCCGTATTATAAGGACCCCAAAATAAGGTACCTCAATTTTCAGAAACTCCCAGATTGGGATAGTCTTCAAATTATCGTAGGATCTCTACTGGGCCAACCATAATAAGGATGCTCTTTTGGGACCTAATTCCATAATAGTAGTGTTTATGGACCCTCTGGGGTAGGATCTCTAATGGAGGCCCATCTACAAATCCTGCATTACCCATAATAAGGGTTATACCATAATTCCCATAGTTTAGTAGTCTATATGGACTCTCTGGGGTAGGATCTCTAACGGAGGCCCATCTACATCGGCTTCTTCGGCTCCTGCCTCCCGGCCAACGGACTATGCGGATGCCACTTGGAGCGGGAACTGAAAGGCTTCGTTAAGGACTCCGGTAGGGTTTAGGAACCCTAAACCTTTTATAGAACCCTTATAGATCCATTTAAGGAACCCGTAAAGGATCGTTAAGGACTCGCGTGGGGTTTGGGGCTTTAACCTGCACGCCCCTCCATGCACCCTTAAATAGAGGTATATGGCCCCAAACAATGAGCATTTAGGGTCTAATAGAGGGTAGATGGAGGGTCTAGGAAGAGCCGAGCGTTTTGGGATTCCTTTGAAGGCTTCATTTAGTGTTTAGGACCTGGCGCATGGAGTTTGGGGTTCCAGGTTCCTTCTGAGGGTTCCTGTTTCGCTCAAGAGTTGTACTGTTTACGTAGTTGAGCTTTGCACGGTTTTGTGTAATTACTAGGGTCCATGTATCTGTAGTAAGAGTTCTACTAAGTTATCAGGTTAAGGTTCAACGAGCATGGTGTGCTGCAGTGCTCGACTGTAGCGCGTATCTGGCTGCCTGCGTTGGCACAAGACAAGGGGCAGAGGAAACAAAGGCAGCAACAAGACAAATGCAGCGAGGTGGGTATCCAGCCTAATTCGTGAGACTCCTCAACAGGATATGCCACGAAAGCGTAAACCTTGCGTCCTTCAAGCTCTGCCGCACGATGCCTTAAAAGCACGATCTAAGCCCGAAGCCCAAACTTTAGACCTGAAATCCTAAAGTCCCCCCAACACCTGAAATCCTATATACATGCATAAACTCGATAACCTACATGCTGAGCTATTTCACAACCCGGAATTCATGGCCTCCGCTGCCCCATGGTCGTGGAGACGCCGTGCAGAGCAGTTGCCACCGAAGAGGACCAGGCTCGCTCTGGCTTTGGTGGGTAGTATGATTACGGAGACCCCTGAAAGGGTACCCCTTCTGAACCCTTCTGGCTCTCTTAAAAGGGGCCTTATTGCCCAAGGGTCCCCCTGATCCTAAGTCCCATTTGGAACCCAGACCTAGACCCCCGGGAGCATCCAAAAAGTAGATCCCTTTTTGGGGGGTTCCTGTAAAGTACCCTTAGTAGTATAGGGCCCCAAATTAGGGGATCTACTTTCTAGATCTTTCCGGGGGTCTGGGAGGTTCCATATATAGTACCATTGTGGAATTAGGTCCCCAAAGCCGTAATATGCATGGATGGTCTTTTCGGTACCTAATTCCACAATGGTAGTATATATGGAGCCTCTAGGGAATTTCATTCTGCAGCCTACAAATGGGTCGTTGTCAAATTTAGGGTCCCTTTCTGGGTACCCCAAACAGTAGGTGCCTTATTACATTCAAGACCCAAAAAGGGACCATCATTGTGACAACCGCCCAAATGTCAATTGACAAAGCACGCCGCACCGAAACAAGCAAAGACATCAAACAGACAGGCCAACAGACATAAACAAAAAAATACAGTAACACAAACACACAACCAAGCAATCAATCAACCTATCTATCTGTCTATCGCTCCATCAATCAAGCAATAAGACAAAAAGGCAAGCAGGCAAGCGAGCAAGCAAGCAAGCAACACTTCTTCTCCCCCAGAGCTCGAAATCCCTCTGGCAAATGGGCCCTAGACGTGACCCCAGTCCCGAAACCCTAAGCCCTAAACGGGCCCCTAAACCTTAAAAACCTAAAGCTTACACCCCCAAACCCTATAAAGCCTAAGCTCCCAAGCCCTAAGTCCCTAAGCCGCTACACCCTAAGACCCTAAGTCCCGAAACCCTAAACCCACAAATCCTAAACCCCTAAAACCATCTAAAACCCTAAGTCCCTAAACCCCTAAACCCCTAAACCCTAAGACCCTAATCCCTGAAACCCTAAAACCCTAAACCCCTAAACCCTAAAACCTTAAACCCCCAAAACCCCGAAGCCGAAGCCTTCATCCCGGGCAGGCATGGCAGAGAGGGATCTCGGCTCTGCAGGGGCTCGCCCCACTTGGCGATCAAAAGGCCCATCGCAAGGTGGGACAGTAAAGGCCCTAAGTAGGGATTCGGGGTTCATAGGGTTTGGGTCTGGGGTTTAGGGGTTTAGGGTTTAGAGTTCAGGGTTTAGGGTTTAGGGGCTTTGCAAGGTGGGACAGTAAAGGCCCTAAGTTCGGGTTTTATAGGGTTTGGGTCTGGGGTTTATAGGGTTTGGGTCTGGGGTTTAGGGGTTTAGGGGTTTAGGGTTTAGAGTTCAGGGTTTAGGGTTTAGGGGCTTTGCAAGGTGGGACAGTAAAGGCCCTAAGTTCGGGTTTTATAGGGTTTGGGTCTGGGGTTTATAGGGTTTGGGTCTGGGGTTTAGGGGTTTAGGGGTTTAGGGTTTAGAGTTCAGGGTTTAGGGTTTAGGGGCTTTGCAAGGTGGGACAGTAAAGGCCCTAAGTTCGGGTTTTATAGGGTTTGGGTCTGGGGTTTATAGGGTTTGGGTCTGGGGTTTAGGGGTTTAGGGGTTTAGGGTTTAGGGTTTAGGGTTGATTGGGGTAGCTTCGTGTCCTGGGCTAGTACACCCTAAAGTTCCCTAAAGGCCCTGGACAGTCAACCTATTGGATTTCTTCTGTAGCAACCCTTATTGTAAGGATTCAAGAACCCTAAACCCTACTTGGAGGATCATGGGACTTAGTAAGAAAGGTTATGAGTACCTTAATTGGGGTTATAAGTAGTTATACGTATAGTTGCCCTGCTTATAACCCTAGTTACTAAGTCCCATGAACCTTTAAGTAAACCTTTGCAGTAACTGTAAGCCTGCACCCTAAACCTTTGCAGTAACCCTAAGGGTCCAAGTAGTCCTTATTTATGGTTTTTGGTACCTAGTAAGGCCCAAAGTCCTATAATGGGGCCTTACAAGGTCGGCTTTCAGGAGCCCTAAACCACCCAGAGACTCCAATACCCCTGTACCCAGAGACTCTGAATACCTAGGGTTCCTTAAAGGGATCTATAAGGGATCTATATAGGGTTTAGGGTTTAGGGGACTCCAATATACCCCTTAATTAAGGAGTATACCATAAGTTATAGTAGGATCCTTAGTATGATTTACAGAATATTCCTTAATTAAAGGTTATTGGAGTCTCTGGGCAGAGGTCATTTCCTGCTGCGGTGCGCAATGGCAGGCAGCATTGCAAGTCCTGGCGGAGATTGCAAAGCATGCAGTGCCCAACGTCTCTGAGCCATTGTTGAGCATTTTGGTCTCAAAACCCTAAACTCTACCTACACGGTCATACCTAATTACCCTTTCTTTAAGGTACTTGCTTTTCTGAATATAGATCCAATCCATAGAGCAAGGAACCTGAAAAATGTGTAGGGTTATGACCCTCTATGTAAACCCCTGGGCCAGCGTCTCAAGACTGTGTTTTTTCCAAAGGTTTACCTGAACCCAACCCCGAAGCCTGCCCAGAGATGGCTTATATTACATATTATGATTTAAGCTGTATTCCTTAATGAAGGGGTATTGGGTTTTTGAGTACATGTACAGGCTTTGCGAAGTCCAACGTAGGTCTTTGTGCTCTTTGCCTACAAGTACTGGGCTTTGGAGTACCGTACTTTAATACTTTTTTGGGACCTGTTACTTAGAGGGAACCATTATGAAATGAAAGTCTATACTTTTTGCTCCCGGGTTACTTCAAAGCCCAGAGTATTCCAGCCCTTCAGCATTTCGTTTTCGCAGGTAGATGATATAACTCCTGCATGACCTTAAGGACCCTAAGCTATGGGAATTATGGTATATTCCTTATCATGGGTAATGCATGATTTATATCATCAACCGTAGTTCTACTGGCCCTAAACCCCAAACCCTAAACCCTAACGTAGTCGTCCCTAAGTGGCCTTGCCGTGTGTCGTCGTTCTCTCCAGGGGATTCGTCTCTGCTCACGCCGGTACCTTAAGGTTTAGGGTTTAGTGTTTAGCGATTAAGGGCGACATGAACCTGAAAAAGGGCTTCAGGTTCAAAAAGGTGGTGGTCGAAATTATGGTCCCTTTTTGGGTACCCCAAGTATTAGGTGCCGTACGATATTAAGGACCCAAAAAGGGACCCTAATTTTGACAACCACCCATATAGTGATTTATAATATGAGGCTATAGCGCTCCAACTTATAAGGGCCAATTGGTCCCCAAGGTGTGCTGCACCTTCGCCTCAGTTTTGTAAACAGCACAACTGGGGAGTTTCCGAAAATGGGGGACTTTACAATAGTACCCTAAATAGTAGGGTTCTTATTATCAGGACCCTCAAAATAAGGTTTCCCAACTCAGGTTTATGGCTTCAGTGCAGCCATCACTTCCTGTGAGCGTGGAAGGCAGTGGCACTCGGCACTCCATCTGCTTTCGGAGATGGGGTCGCTGCGGACTGCGCCCAACGTCTTCAGCTGCAGTGCCACTATCAGTGCCTAGGTTCTTGAGTAGTATCACTTTGCATCCTTTTGCCCTTTTTAGTTAGGGCTTTCCTTTTTAAAATTGAATATTCAGGAACCTAGGTGCTTGTGAGAAGGGCGGCGAATGGCAGATGGCTTTGCTTCTGCTGTCAGGAATGCTTCTCGAGTCTATCCTGCCAAATGTCTTCACCTTCAGTGCTGCTATCAGCGCCTGCGAGAAGGGGAGCAGATGGCAGATGGCCTTGCTGCTGCTTTCAGAAATGCCATCTGCCCGCGTGGCTCCCGACAGGGTTAGCTTCAACGCGGCGATCAGTGCGTGTGAGAAACTGGGTAGTTCAGCAGTACCGTGTTGCCCTTTTCGGTTGGGGATCTTCTTGAGGGAAACTGAAAGGTAAAGGGGAAAAGGAGGGAGCCTTAATGGGGACCCTTACCCTACAAGGGGCTATATAATGGGTATATAATGTATATAGTAGCTATAATAAGGGTATATACCTAGGGGTCCTTATTAAGGGTCCCTCCTTTTACCCTTGGAGAAAAGTAAGAGCAAGGGTACGCTTACAGTACGATTTCAAGGCGACTTGGGAACCCAGGAAAAGGGCCGAGTGGCAGATGGCCTTGGCACTGCTGTCAGCGATGCAGGACGCCACCGTCGCCCCCAACGACCGTACCTTCAATGCGGTCATCAGCGCATGTGAGACTGGGTTTTTTTAGAGTTTCATTCAACTTACCATAACATGGATCTTTAGTAAACATTATGAGATGGTTTCTTTATTATAGTGACTTAGATTAGCCTCCTTAACAAGAACCCAGGAGAAGGGTGGGGAGTGGGTGCTGGCTCTATCTCTGCTCTCGCAAATGCCCCAAAAACGTGTCATGCCGGATGCGATTAGCTTCAATGCGAGCATCAGTGCATGTGACTAGGTAGGCCTTTGGGACATTTTATATTTTCCCTTATTGGGCTTAATAGGACCCTATTTACGAATATTTTTCAGAGGCTTTAAGGGGCCAAGCTAGGTGAGAAGCGCGGGGAGTGGCAGGCGGCCTTGTCCTTGCTGGCCGAGATGCTTTCAGCCAGGATGTCGCCAAACACAGTCAGCTTGAGTGCCCTAGGATGTAGTACCCTTAGGGATCCTTTAAAGGGTTCCTTAAAGGGATCTATAAGGGTTCTATAAAGGGTTTAGGGTTTCCGAAAATTAGGGGCTAGGATGCCCAGTAGTACCCTTATTCCCTTTTTGTAGTCCTAGGTTCCTTATAAAGTTACCCAATACCAAAAAGAGAGGCCTTTTTATTCTTAGGTTACTGGGTATCCTAGGTGCCGGCATCAGTGCGTGTGAGAAAGCTGGTGAATGGCAGGTTGCCCTGTACCTCTTGTCACAGATGCCGGCTGCAGAGATTCTACCCGATCAAGTCAGTTTCAGCGCAGGCATCAGCGCATGTGAGAAGGCCGGCAAGTGGGCGCTGGCCCTGCAAATTCTGTCGCACATGTCCGCAGCCCAAGTACTGCCTGACGATATCATCTTCAATGCCTGCATCGGTGCCTGCGCGAAAGGCGAAAAGTTTCCACTTGAACAGGAAAGGCGACGAAAGCCTCAGACCTCACACCCCAGAGACTCCAATATCCCTTAACTAAGGAATAGTCCTTAAATCATATTAAGGATCCTACTATAATTTAAGGTATATATTCCTTAATTAAGGGGTATATTGGAGTCTCTGGGACCCTGGAGCATTTTCTCAGAGCCCCGGCCCACGTCTGGAAGCCTATAGCTCGTGGACTCGGGACCAATCGAAGTCTCTTGACTCTTAGCCATCACCCAGAGACTCCAATATGCCTTAGTTAAGGAAAATTCCGTAAATTATAGTAGGATCCCTAATATGATTTAAGGAATATTCCTTTAATTAAGGGATATTGGAGTCTCTGGGGCAAGCTTACCCCAGTGTGATGCCGGACCCTGGGATCCTTCAGATCGATCCACTGGTGGGGGCTCCTGATGCAGGTAGTCGTCCCTAGGCACCAAAACCCCGAAACCCTGAAACCCCAAAGAAGCTCCAAACCCCTAAAGGCTAAAGTCCCAAAGACCTAGAACCTTAACCCCTCCTCTACAAAAAATCACGAGCACCATAATTGCTTTCATAGCCCATTTTTTTCCTGTGTCTTTGTGCAGGTTTCAATTAGCACTACACCCTGTACCCCTAAACCCTTAAACCCCCTGAACCCCTAAACCCCTAAATCCCTAAACCCTTAAATCCCTAAACCCTGAACTCCTAAACCCTAAAACCCCTAAATCCCTAACCCCTCAAACCTCTAAACCCCTACGATAAGGGTCCAAGTAGTCCTTATTTATGGTTTTGGGGTACCAAATAAGGCCCTAAAGTCCTATAATAGGGAGTACCTGGACCCTCTGGGCTATAGAAACCAACAGAACAAGGTTGTGCCTCGGCCGGAAGCCCTGGAAATGGGCCTGCGACATTCACTGAAGGCGGGCGCGTGTCGTTGCATCGAAGTGTGGGTCCCAAAGACTCCTGACATTTGGGGGTTTCCGAAAACAAGGTTCCTTTAAGGCTTCCTTTAAAGGGGTTTGGGGTTTCTTGAAGGGTTCCTTTAAAGGGCTTTATATGGGGTTTAGAGTTTCCGAAAATTAGGGGTACCTCATTTTGGGGTCCTTATAATAAGGAACCTACTATGTACTACATTAGGATCCCTTATTTTCGGAAACTCCCATGTACCCATATAGTAGGTACTTAGGCCTTAAAGTACCCAAATCGGGACCCCTTTAAGGCCTAAGTACCTACTATATGGGTACATGGAGTCTTAGGGGGGAAACATGTGGTCGTCAAAACTATGGTCCCTTTTGGGATCCCCAATATCATACGGCACCTTGTATTTACCCAGAGGGTCCAAGTACTCCCTATTATAGGACTTTAGGGCCTTACTTGGTAGCACTGCTGCTTGGTCTTGCTTTTCTTTCTAGGGGCCTAAGTTCAGTGTAGTTAACCCCCTGAACCTTAAACTCCAAAAGCCTCAAACGCTCGACGCTTCCAAGCCCTGAACCGTGAGGCCAGCAGCACGCCGCCTCAGGTGCCGGGTCTCGAATCATGCAGGTGGTTAGCAAATCAATAGGTTATCAGTTATTAGTTCTACCAGGGGATCCAAAAGCCGGCTGCTTAAGGAGTCATACCATATAATGAAGTGGTCATAACCTACACATTTGTGGGTTTGGGGATACAGGTATCAGTTATGAAATCTACTGGACTCTATTGCAGTTGGTGTATCACGATTTTTGGACGTACGGTTAAATCCTCAAGTGGGATCTAGAAAGAAGGCTGTATGCAGTCATAGTGAGTTGGAGTTATATATAGTTTTTCCCGAAACTCCGAGCCCGGAGCCCTAAACAATCCCCAAAACACAGCCCAACCTAAAGCATTTCCGGATTTCGGAGTTCCGTTTCTCTCCAGATTGACAGCTAGCCTAAACCCAAGACCCTTTGGTTCAGGGGTGCACTCGAAGCTTATACGGTTCAGGGAAGGCTCAGAGTCAGGGGAACCGTCGAACCTCCGAAACCCACGGGTCTAGAAGCCCTAAGCCCCAGACGCTACCCTAGATTCAGGGTTTAGGGTTTAGGGTTTAGGGTTTAGGGTTTAGGGCTAGATACCCCAAGCCCTGATCCCTAAACCCTAAACCCACAACCCGGAAGGCCCCAAACACTCAAAGCCCTACTTAAAGGATCATGAGACTTAGTAACTAGGGTTTAAAACTAAGGTAACTATACTTGTACCTGCTTATAACCCCAGCTTAGGTACTTATAACCTTACTTACTAAGTCCCATGATCCTCCAAGTCGTTGGGGCAATGGGCATTAGTAAGAACATCATCCAACTTCGAATCCAGCTGAGGTACAGCCCTCCCCTTGAGCCCCAATGTGGGCATCGCAAGCTGCACGGGCTGCAGTTTCTACTCACATCTGCAAAAGCCCTTTCTGGTGCCGTAAAACCTAAAGGCCGTCAACCCCCAAAGTCCGCAAACCTGAAAACGTAAACCCTGTCCCTAGACCATACAAGCTATCAGCCCTCAATCCTACAAGCCCTAAAGCCACAGCCCTAAGCCCTACACCTAAACCCTCAACCCTCAACCCTGAACCCTAAAACCTGAACCCTAACCTAAAAGCCCTAAACCCAAATAAGCTCAGCCTCAACTTGAAGAGGCGCTTGCGCGTGCCGGCTTGGTGTCTGAGGATTCCGAGGCAACACATTAAGGGTCCATGCACCTATGTACTAGGACCCCCTATAAGGTAACCCCAAAAGGAAACTACAATCAAGACTACAGGTAGCATATACTTTGGCCTAGGCCTTAAGGTCGTCCTTGTATCATAATGGTACCCTAGACCCTCAAGCCTTATAGTCCTGATGTAGGTACATTAGGGCCAAAGTATCTCTTTTATGAGTACATGGACCCTTAGGGATAGGGAAGGATTTGTTTAGGCTTTGGGGTTCAGGATGTTTAACAGTGTTAGTTATAGGCTCTATACTTTTGCGAAGAATATCAGTGGGTTCTGTATTTTAAGCACGGTTGTTTAATTAAGGCACTATGGATTCGACGGGGCTGCACACATTTCTGTTAGGGTTCTAGAATCTTTTGCCCTTCGAGGGCTTCACAGCCTTGGGTGAATACTGCGTTAGATCGGGCTTGTGAATAGCCGTCGTTGGCTTATAAAGGGTCTGGGAAGTTACGTGCAGCGGTAGTATCATGGACAGCCAATCGCGCGCAGTGACGACACAACTCAGCATTGTTGCACCACTCGCAGTACCAGCCAGCCGGCGGAACATGTCAAAAACCGTAACAGCATTATTTGTCGTCGTTAGTTCTGAGAACTAACGACGACAAATACGAGTTATCATGGGCATTTTTACTAAACGTTACTGTAGCTATAGTAAGATGACCATTTGAAATGGTTCGCATGCTACCGAACCAAGCAAGCGAAGGAAACTACACAGGCCTGCACGGAGACTCATGGGAATATAGACAAATGCTCTGTCCCTAAGGGTCCATGTACCCAAATAGTATATACTTTGGGCCCAATGTGCCTACATAGGGAGTACTTGAAGGCCAATGTATATACTATACGAGTACATGGACCCTTGGGGTGTTATAGAGTAGGCGACTGCCACCGCTTCTTTTGTGTCTTGTATTCTTAGCAGCGTAGCATCTTGTCAAGAGAACATTAAATTGGCAATACCCATGCCACCTTCATACTCGCTATGGTTGATCTTACGACGACAATGATGACGACCAGTACCAATCCCTCCCTTGCACTTGTTCCTGAACTGCCAGGGACTACTGGATAGCATGGTTTCTCTGATGGGTTTGGGGGTCTTAGGGGTTTGGGGGTCTTTTGGGTTCTGAAGCGTTGACAACACATCGAACCGTTGATCGTTGCATTTTAGCATTTTGAATTTAAGGTGTAGGGCCAGAGTTTAGGATTGTAGGTAATCATAGGGTTTAGGAATTTAGGGCTTATGGGGTTTCGCACGCTTGCTCAGTCACCTTCGTTATGAAGGGAGCGCTAGCTTCATCCCTCGTTCACAGCCCTTTAAGCAAAAAACTCCAAACCTTACTATTGTTCCAAGTAACTAGGACGCTTTGCAGAGGCGATGCGGTTATCGTTAGCCTATGTGCATTCTGGTCTCGCCGTGGATGCTGCTTGGCATTCGAGCACCCAAGAGTTTAGGCTGCGAAAGAGTAGTGTTCAGACTAGGTGGCTTCCTTAACGCTGAAGAACCTACCCTTTTAAGAACTTACCCTAAGGGTCCATGTACTCATATAGTAGATACATTGGCCTTAATGTAGTCCCTATATAGGTACTTTGGGCCCATGTATCTCTACATGGGGACATGGACCCTTAGGGTTATATAATAAGGAAATCATAATAGGGAACCCTGAAAGGGTAGGGTATTCAGGGTTAAGGTTTGTCTCTTCGTGTCAGACATGGGGGTGTGGGTTGTTTGACGTTCAGGGCGTGGGCATACGGTTTGGCTGTCCTACGGTTGATGATATAAATCCTTCATGACCTTAAGGACCCTAAACTATGGGAATTCTGGTATATGCCTTATTATGGGTAATGCAGGATTTATATCATCAACCGTAGGGTTTGGAGGTCTAGGGATTTAGCATTTAGGGGCTCTACGAAATCAGGTATTTGCAATGCATGGCCAGCTCGTTAGGGGCCCACATCAACCTGAAAACCATTCACACAGTGTCTTAAGATTTCAACCGGTGTTCATCACTGGTCTACCTTGAGTGTTCTTTTCGGATGTCTCTCGGCAGCGGGGCCGTGAGATCCCAATTGCGTCATAAAGCTCTGACTCCCAAAATCGAATCGTGAAGTTCAATCTTGTGATGCCCTGCACCGTGCGGTTTACCTCCAGTCCCTTCCTCCAAATAAGTCGGGTTGGGACTGCCAGCAATAATGAGCCAGACAGTAAACAACGACCGTTTCCTAAGCCCCATGCCGCAATGCCCTTAGCCCCCAATTAAAAACCCGAAAGACCTGCTCCTTTCGGCTAAGTATCACCTTGCCCTAAAACTTAAAGCCCTAAGCCCTAAAGCACTAAAGGTAAAGCCCTAAACTGTAAAGCCCTCAACCCTGGAGCCCTAAACAATGAAACTCTGAAGCCCTAAAGCCCAAAAAGCACCCAAAACTACAGCTCTGGTCCTGTCGGTTTAGAACTGCTGTAGTCTTGGCTCTATTAAAGCTGATACCCCCCCCCCTCCCTCCCCCCATGCTTTTCCAATTAACTTTCAATTGTGGGCCCGAAACCACAAAATTCCGGTGGCCGGGAGTTTCTATATAAGGACGGCTTTTGATATTCGGGGGAAGGGATTACTCAGAATAGGAATTGCTAATTTCGAAACCCTACATTCCACTATATAGGTACTTTGGACCCTCTGGGTGCCCTATACCCTAAACCCTAAACCCTAAACCGGGGCATCTGAGAAACTCAAGGCCCTTACGGTTTAGGCTTCATACTAGGGTCCATGGTCCCAAAAGAAGGTCTATGTCAGGGCACCTTATACCCCGAAGCTTTTCAGCCCTAAACCCTAAACCCTAAAATCCTAAACCCTGAACCACCCACTTCAACAATAAAAGCTCAGGACGCCCCAAGTCATTATAGATCCGAGACCCCTACACCCTAAACATCTAAACCTCAAACCGTGCTAAACCCCAAACCCTATTAAACCCTACCCCTGACCCTAAGCGTCCCTGTACCTAATGATCATATACTCTCCCAAATGTTAGGCTACATAACTACTATCATAAATCTAAGTGCGTTATTATTGAGTCCTTAAAGCCCTACAAAACCCAAACCCTACTAACACCCTAAAGCCCTACTAAACTCTAAACCCTAAATCCAGTCCTAAGGTTCAGCAGTTGCGCTCCGAGTATGTGCCCGCGGCGCCACGGGGTCTTCGCATGGAAGCCGGAGGAAAGCAGGCGTCGTTCCGTTTTGGATTTAGGCTTCAGGTTTTAGGGTTCAGAGTTGAAGGTTTAGGGATCCAAAGACTCCACTCCCTGGGCGGGCGTTGTGCCGGTTGGGTTTAAGAGAACTTGGAGGGGCAGGGCACTGAGTAAGTATGGTAGAAGTAGAGTTATAAGTACCCTAAAGGAAAACCCTACTTATCACCGACTTATTAAGTCCCCTGGGCCCCCAAGTAAGCCCTAAAACTCCTAAACCCCATAGATCCCTTTAAGGAACCCCATAGATCCCTTTAAGGAACCGTTTAGATCCCTTTAAGGAACCCTTTTGATCCCTTCAAGGAACCCTATAGATCCCATTAAGGAACCCTAGGGCAAACGGGTAAACCCTGAGCCTTTCCACCAGCAGGAGGAGCTCGACTCTGACGAGCTGCGCGATTTCCCATGCCCGCCTTCTTCAGTGGAGGCGCGGAGCTTGGCCGGTCATTTTCAAAATCAGGGTTTAGGGTATCCGAAACCCTACCGTTTTTGGCTGATCATTTTTCAATATCAGGGTTTAGGGTCTACCTGGGGATCCGAAACCCTACCGTTTCCAGGGTTCTACCCTCTAACTAAGGGGTCATAGCCTACAATTTGGAGGGTTTGGGGTCACAGGTAGGGTCTAGGATCTAATTGGGGTCTAGGGTTTAGGGTCAAGGGTCATAGGTTTCCCTAACGTACAGTGGTATCCTTAAACGAGTTCCTCAAATTAGGATCGCCAGGCCCATCAACCACCAGCCCGTAACCTTATACCTTCGGGGTACTTAGAAATAATCTTGAGTTTTTCGTTATTAGAATCCCTACGAAACAGCTAAATAGAAATTGTTGCTAGGGTTCTAAGTTCAGTATAGTAACCCTTAAACCCAAACCACCCTGAACCTTAAGTCCTAAATATCAAAACGGAAAAGGAGGGACCCTTAATGGGGACCCCTACCCTATAATGGGATATATAATGGGTATATAGTGGCTATAATGGCTATATTATGTGTATATACCCTAGGGGTCCTTGTTAAGGGTCCCTCCTTTTACCCTTAGATAAATCCTAAATAGTCAACCTCAAGCCCTCATCCAACAAGCTCAGACTTCGGACAGCACCGTCACTGCCAAACTCTGTATATCAACCTTACACCAATGCCTGGAGCTTTAGTTGTAGCAGTTCTTGGATGGTAACCGTTTTTGATGCGACAGTGTCGCGGTTCAGGGTCCAGGCATGCTCTGGATGAAGTTTTCTGTTTTGACGGGGTCTTAGTTGAAGGGTCCGGGGGGCTTCGTGTTTTGACACAGGGCGTTCAGGACTTGGGTTTCCAGCGTTTGGGGCATGCGCTTGGGTCAAGGGTTTCGAGCAGGGCATACCCTAGAATCCCGAAGCATACCAAGCCTTTCTCTAAATCCCAAACCCTTGCAAACCCCATAAACCTGAACCTCAAGCCTGAAAAGCCCTAAACCCTAAACCCAAACCCTAAACCCTATACCCTAAACTCGTCAACCCCAGACCCTGTACCCTGAACTCTTAAGCCCGATGCCCAAAACCCTGAACTCCTAAGCCCCATACCCTATACCCTAAACTCCTCAACCCCGTACCCTACACTCTTCAGTTGCGAGCCTCCAGGTGTTTAGATAGTGACGGGGGAACTTTAAACTTTTTGGCCTTATATATATATATATATATATATATACTAGCTCTATCTTAGAAAGTTTGCACTTTGGGGGGGCCCGGTTGCTGTCAGCGGGTTTGGGCGCGCAGCAAAGTCAAAGTCTTAAATCCGGTTTAGCCAGGACCCCTCTGGCCCTTTAATGGAGCCCTTGTGGCCCTTTATAGTGGGTATGTAGGGTATAGTAGAAGGTATTTAGGTGGGGGTGTCTAAGAAATCAAGGTTTAGGATTTATGGTTTGGGGGTTTAGGGCTCCAAATCAACAACCCGCAAGCCGCAAGCCATACACTACGACCGGCGAAGTTTTGAAACCCAGTAATTGCGGGTTTTGCGGTTCTACAGCCCTTCAACGTCTGTTGAGGCAGCTTTTCGCACATCTCGGAGTGCTCAAAAGGTGGGATGAGAAGGCAGGTAGGAGTCGTCAGGATCTCTTATATACAAGGATTCTTACTTTGGGATTATATACCCCCACCTACCTCCATCCCACCTTCGCAGCCCTTTGACTATCAGGTCTGGTCGACTGCAGACACCGTGGACACCATCAAGTTTCTTTATCCGAACGGCGCTTACCTCACAGGCCTCCATCGGCGCAAGGGGGCTTCGGACTCCAACGCGACGTTTGATGAACTAAATCCTGCAGTACTTTTAAGTGTTCCTTTAAGGGATCTTTTGGAGTTTCGGGTTTAGGGCTCCCTTAAGGGATCTTTTGAGGGTTTAACAGGGTTTGGTCGGGATTTAGTGGGGTTGAGGGTTAAATCCTGCATTACTGAAATGACACTAGACTTTGGGAATTAGGGTATATTCCTTATTATTCCTTAACCCTTTGCGCCGAACCAGAACCACAGGGTTTAGATCAACAAGGCTTATATGAAAGGAACCCAAAATCTCATTTTTGTATGTGGTTGGCTTTATTTGTGTTTAAAAGTGTTTTTTGTATTTAAAAGTATTGTTTTGTATTTAAAAGTTTTTTAAATAGGTTTTTTTGTGTTTTACAGTTGTTAAAATTCTTTTATTTTATTTTTGGTGTAAAAAAATACATGTTTGTGAATTTTGTTTCTGAGTGAGTCAATTGGCTTCCTGTTGTTCTACCTGGTTTCCTGCTGCTGTATGTCTACAAAATTGTTGTTTATTTGTTGTTGAAGTTAATAATTTTTAATATTTAATCTTTTTAAATAGTTTTGGGTTGTGATTGAACAAAGAAGGGAGGCCGTAGTGACATGTTGACTTGCCTTGAGATCTTGCCCTTACCCACACGGATCGACTGCCCTTCTCGGTTCGTGGGCACCGTTGGCCGGGTGTCAGGTTATGAGGCGATTGTATCTAGACCGCCTTGGGGCCAACGTGCCAGGGCAGTGGCATATGACACCCGGACAAATGGGCTAAAGTGCCGGGTGGGGCGGTTGAGGGGTTGTTCGCAGCCGTGCTTACAGCCTTGAAGGGGAGGCCATCCATGCTTGTCGTCACGTTTTGTTAGGGAGCCTTGCGACTTGGATCGACAGAGGCAGAGTGCCACCTTACCCACACGGATCGACTGCCCATCTCGGTTCGTGGACACCGTTGGCCGGGTGTCAGGTGTTGTCGATGGTACCTGGACCGCCTTGGGGCCAACGTGCCAGGGCAGTGGCATATGACACCCGGGCACATGGGCTAAAGTGCCGGGTGGGGTGGTCCAGTGGTTGTGGCTTTTTTATTTTTCTCCCAACCAGGAGGGGAGGCCATCCATGCTTGTCACGTTAGTTAGGGAGCCTTGCGACTTGGATCGACAGAGGCAGAGTGCCAGTCGAGCCTCTCGAGGTTGCCTTACTTAAGTCCCTGCCCCATCGGGGTTGCTCCCCACACCGTTGGCCAGGTCTAAGTGTTCGGTTTGAATCCAAGCCTAGTGAACGCCTTCTCTTCCATTTCCTTCTCTCCCATCGGTCTTCATCGGCTTCCAGCCCATCGAGAAGTGGATGCCAACTGCTGGGATCTCAGCATCAGCTTGCTTCAGCTACTTCCATTATTATGGTACAGTCCTGGCACCGAGGCTCATGACGAGGATCCTGAGGACATGCTGCCATCGCAGAGGACAAGCTGCCTTGCATAGTCAGTGAGCGTGTCATGTATCGCAACTTGCCGCTGCAGCAGTTGTGCTCGCTGTTGCCCTGCGTAATCTACTATAGTCGTGTTACAGCTGCTCTGTCTCAAGTCTAAGTCGTAGTAGGCCCCCCTGCAAGCCGGCAGATGTCGTCGACGTCGTGGAGTGACAGTGAGTCTGTGGGCTCGGACTGGGTTCTGGTTGACGATGAGGGTGCAAGCACTGCGGGCTCGGTCGCGGACAGTTTTGACGACGATGATTCTGTGATTCCGTTCGACACGATGCTAGAGGAGTGCTTTACGACATTCTGGATGTTTCTGAATTCTCAAGAGCGTGGGCAAGTCTTGCAAGTAGCCTGGTCTGTCAATGAGCAGATCATGTTCACACTCTTTCCGAGACTTCGGCGGGATTTTCGGCAAGGCAGAGTGCCAGGAATTTTATATTACAATGTGTCAGACGAATTTCTGGCGTTACTGCTTCAATGATTTGTCGTGTTTGTACAGCCTCCGAGACCGTATTACGGATGTTGGGGAAGGCAGAGTGCCGGGTTTGCGTGTGTTTAGAGGATTTTGAATTCGACGATCTCGCCAGCAGAGCTAGACTGTCCGATTTGAGACCTCAGCGGTAGTGTGCGCAACTTGGATTCAAAACGGTTACCCAGCATGACATGCTGACTACACAGTGCCGGGTGGCAGTGATGTCCTCAGGACCCTGCTGTCTCCGAGGCTGGCTGCCTGCCTGCCTGCCTGCATAGTCTGTCAGTGAGTTGCCTTGCACCATACATGATCGACATCTGTCTGCCGGCCAGGGAATCAAGTGATTCATTCATACTGATGTAACAGTAGTAACACAATGTTACATATCATTGATTAATGTACTGTATAGTGATGCATTAGTCACTGTTAATGTTTTAATCTTTGGACAATTGAAGTGTGCTCGATGAAAGCAGTGATCCCGACGACCTGCTCTGTCTCTAGTCTAAGTCGTAGTAGGCCTCCGTGCAAGCCGGCAGATGTCGTCGACGTCGTGGAGTGACAGTGAGTCTCTGGGCTCGGTCTCGGACTTATTGGCTGTTGGCGAGTTTGCAAGCACTGCGGCGTTTGGGGGTTCGTTTGTGGGCTCGGTCGCGGACAGTTTTGACGACGATGATTATGTGATTTATTTCGACGAGCTGCTAGAGGAGTCCTTTTCGACATTGTGGATGTTTCTGAATTCTGAAGAGCGTGGGCAAGTCTTGCAAGTAGACTGGCATATCAATGACATGATCCTGTGCGTACTCGTTCCGAGATTTGTGCGGCAAGGCAGAGTGCCAGGAATTTTACATTACAATGTGTCAGACGAATTTGTGTCGTCACTGAATCAATGATTTGTCGTGTTTGTACAGCCTCCGAGACCGTATTACGGATGTTGGGGAAGGCAGAGTGCCGGGTTTGCGTGTGCTTAGAGGATTTTGAATTCGACGATCTCGCCAGCAGAGCTAGACTGTCCGATTTGAGACCTCAGCGGTAGTGTGCGCAACTTGGATTCAAAAAGGTTACCCAGCATGACATGCTGACTACACAGTGCCGGGTGGCAGTGATGTCCTCAGGACCCTGCTGTCTCCGAGGCTGGCTGCCTGCCTGCCTGCCTGCATAGTCTGTCAGTGAGTTGCCTTGCACCATACATGATCGACATCTGCCGGCCAGGGAATCAAGTGATTCATTCATACTGATGTAACAGTAGTAACACAATGTTACATATCATTGGTTAATGTACTGTATAGTGATGCATTAGTCACTGTTAATGTTTTAATCGTTGGACAATTGGGTGCTCGATGAAAGCAGTGATGCCGACGACCGTTTCAAGGTGCTCAGGGAGTTCCGAGGCAGAGTGCCAGACTTCTGCTGCTGACCATCAGAATCAGGCCAATCACATTGACCTTGGCAGTGATTACTGGAACGAAGCCGTGCAACAACTTCGGTGGAATTGTTTACACTGTGGCAGATCAGCTGCCGACTATACCACCGGGCTCCGAAAGATCCAAAGGGCTGCACAATTGGATCAACGAATCAAATTGGCAGTTGAGGCCATCTCAGATTTCGGAGATATGGATATGAAGTTGTACAAAGCATGGACCGGCCAGACAGATGTGCTGCCTGGGTCGATCCCGCCACCTCGGCCATGCCAGCATGATGTCGAGACGTGGCCCATGGATGATGTTTTGATTTACGACCATCCCCAGTGGCAACTGTTTGTTGGCAGTATTGGTTGCCCGATCCGATATGACCAGCTCCGGGTCAAGCCTGACATTGTCATCTCTATGAATGCAGATGACAGACCTCGGAATTTTGAGCCATGGGACTGGTATCAGTATTTGGCGAATTGTGGACCGTTTGGCACTGCACATCTTCGGTATGGTGGCTGGGATCAAACACATGCCAATGACTTTGATGCTGAACAAAGAAGTCATGAGTTCAAGACCATTTGGCGCCGCCTCATTTCAGATTTCAGAAAGATTATGATGTGCTGGCAGCGCTCAGCAGAGGAGTTCAGCCAGAGTCAAAGGCAGAGTGCCATCAAGGGCAAAATGATGGGCAAGGCCAATGGCGGCAGGGGCAAGGGCAAGACAATCAGCAAGGGCTACAGCGGCCCCTGTCAGGTTTCCAATCACATGCAAAGCCAGAAGGCATCGACGAAGGGCTCATTTGGCTATGGCTGCTCCTATGACAAGGGCTTCAGCAAGGGAAGTGACATGGGCAGCCTGTTCGGAAGAGCCGCTGATGGAAGGCAGAGTGCCGATGGAAGGCAGAGTGCCTTGAAGGTGGCCGATGAGACATTCCCTGGTGAGCTCGGTAATGCTCTTGCTTTGTTGGAGGCGATGAAGCTTCAGGGAGGTGGTCGGAAGCGTGGAGGCAAGAAGAGGCCAATTCGTGTGCTTGTCCATTGCTACGGTGGCATTAACAGGACCTGTGCTGCTTATTGTGTCCTAGTCATGGCCTTTGCCTCGATGACCATGGAACAAGCCATTGTCAGGTGGATCAACCACCGAGCCTACTATGCTCCATTCCGGGATCGTGAGTACATGATTGAAGCACTGCTGGAAATGCAGGATGAGCTGCACACGTACAGTTGATCATCGACACTGAACCCGAAGTCCATGGTCAAACAGTTCTGCTCCAATGAATGATTCTGAGCCGTCGAAATTTGTGTCCCGACACTGGCCCAGCCAGAGAGTCCTGGACCCGACACTGGACTGCTGGCTGGAAGTGAAACACAGTCCTTACCTTGATAAGGCTAATAGTTACATTCCCACTTTCAGCTGGCAGTCACAGCTTAATTCGTGCTTTTAAACCTGGCTGCCGGTGTTACTGACTGAGCTTAAAAAGAAAGTGAGATCATGCCCGTCTCGGTTGTGGAAACTGTCAGTTCCTTTGTCGGTTGTGCCGACATGGTGATCAGGGCCGCTGGGGCGATTGGATGAGTGAATCCAGCCGGCGACTCAGTGGGTGCAAGTGTGACTTTAA